AGATGCCAGAGGGATTTAAAATTTCATAAATGGAGAAGTCCACTAAAAAGAAAAATCACATTGCTGTCAGCATTTGTAGATGATTCCAAATCTTATTTCTTACCAATACTAGCAAAGATAATAAAACATCATGATATAAGTTTGTTTCTACACTTTCATGTGATTCCCTCCCCACCACTAACTAAGGCCAAGCACAGCTGATGGCTCACTATCCTGAGTCTTTGATAGTTTTCATTTCCTGTTTCTCTTTCAAAGTCAAGTTCCAATCTGACAACATCAAGGGACTCTCTTCTATTATTCCAATCCACAGTGAACTCTTACTTCCTTCATTTGCCTCTCATCTATAGTACTGAACAATAAGGCTTTCTTTCATCAATATATGCTTTATATAATGCAGCTGGGAAAGGACTCTTAAAACTGATTAACCTTCTAGGTTAATAGCCTTCTTTTGGTCCATGACTAACACAATGAAGAAAGACATGGCTCAGTGACTTAAAAGGATTATGGTACATCTGGGAAAATCTAGCCAATGCACGAAGAGGCTTTTACCCTCCAGGACAAACTAGCCATGGGAAGTAACTTCAAATGCAAAAGGATGTATTTGACTGTATGTTCATCCTTCACCAATTTTGAAATATGCTTACACTACTGACCATGTCATTCTTTTAAAATTTACCTGTCTTGGTATCCTTGACACAAGTGGATTCTACTTTTCTTCCTTTTTCTAAGTTTGTCATCTGGCAAGTTTTATATTTTGTCTTTTATGCTAAAAGAAGATAAAAGAAAAGAAAAGAATAACAATAACACAAGGTACTGGCCAAAGTAATTTCTCTATACACTTTCCCTTTCTTTGGGTTTCTTTAATGTTTGTTCCCAATTACATACATTTGTAGGGACTACTACAATTTATTATTAACCACTACTCATGCTAGATGGGTTTATCTACAAACAACTTCACCACACTCATGATTTCACTGCCAAGACAAACATCAGGCTGATTCCTCCCCCAATAAATACCTATACTCTAACACAGCTTAACACACTCATTCATCATGTTTATACTTGATTTATATTTGCTCATAATATTTTTCCATGTGCTAGAAATTATTGGAAATTTTTTTTTCTGCTTTGGTACATGTAACTGAAAGTGCTCTAAGGGACAGGTGCATAGAAGTGGACAGCAAATGAGACAGACAGCATCATACTTTTGTATATTAAGCATCTAGAACTATTCATGAACCAACTCCCAGTTTAGCTGAGAACAAATACTTAATGAAATACTTGTTACTTCTTTTTCTGGGAAGACTTCACTGTAGAAAAGAGAAACAGCAGGACAGTTGGAGCAATCAGTAAGCACTGAGGGCAACAGAGAGTGGTGGAGAATGTGGTACCAAGAAGCACACTCATAATTCCAAGGATGCATCAGTTACTTCACCAGCACCACCTCACTACATATTATAGTTTTAGTCTAGACTGTCTACCATAGGCTCCTGTTTTTAATGCTGGACCCTCAACATGTGACACCATTTGAGCATTTTCTAGAAATTTTGGACAGTGCCCAAACTTTGGGTAATGTTGGCTAGAATCATATCTTTTCTATTTTGTTTCACATAAAAATAAGAATATATTAAATCTACAATATTTATGCTTTACATCTATTACAGCCTAGATTCACAGGGGTGGGCCTAGGTTCTCCGCCAAATGATATGACTTTGACGAAGCCCCATGGAAGGGCTCACCTTCCCTGGGGAGTGGATAAGGGATGGGATGGGAGGATGAGAAGGAGAGAGAACTAGGATTGATATGTAAAATAAGACTGTTTCTAAATTTACAAAACACATATATTACTGAATGAGCAATATTGCTTACATGAAGTGGACTTAGGAACTATGAAATGAACCTGTTCATCACAGTGGTCCATTAAGCATCAGAGTTCACTATTGTATTTCCAGTGGGCTTAGTCACTCCTTACATGTCATCTGGGACTAGTCAAAATATTGGGATCTAATAATTAAAATCAGTAGCATATTTTGTGGCTTTTACTCAAATGTTTTGAATATGTATACATATACATATAAATGCACATGTAAATATATGTATATATCTATATCTATATCTATATATGAATTATAATTATGGCAATATCATCTAAGTATTGAATAGCTGCAGGAAAAATTGAATTCAATGTATGTAAGATGTTGAGAGCAGCATGAGAGTGTTATTGTTTTGTTTAAAAAGAAGAAAAGAGAAATTGCTGAGACAGACATATTGACTATAAGTTTATTATAAGGGCCGATAGAATGGGGAGACTAAGAAGAGGAACAGGGTAATGGCTGACCGCCATGGCCGGTCGCCATAGAGAGACAGAGAGAGAGCACAGAGCGCAGGACAGAGGAACAGAGGAACAGAGCGGGACAGATAAACAGAGAGAGAGAGACAGGGGGAGAGAGAGAGAGTAAAGGGGCAGGGACTTATCTTTTAAAGGGGTCCTCTGCACCTGCGTGCAGACTTCTTTCCCATGGAACCTTGGGCTGACCAGGGTATTGCCTGAGTGGATTCCACCAGGTAACAGGGGCAGGCCAGCATAATGCCTGAACCTTTCAGAGAGGAAATGCATCCCTTAACAGCTAATTTTCTTCAGACCACTGAATTTATCTCAGAATTATTTTGGAAAAAACAGAAAAGTACAAATAAATTAAAGGAGTCTCAAACTTTTTTTAATCTTTTCAACTTTTTCATTATTAAGTCTGTAAAAATTCTTAGTTTGCTTTAGGTGAATATATGAAGCCTTACATATTATGATTGAGTTAAATTAGGCTTAACTACTACAGTAGCAAATCCTTAGTGGTTTGTACCTGAATTGTTGCCATTTTACATTGTGCAACATATTACCAGTGATAAAATGGATTGTGATTTACTAAAGATTAAAATACTACAGACCTAACAAAGATCAACTTGACACTTTAAATTGACAAAAAAAAAATGAATCCATTATTAAAAAATGAATTATCATAGGCACTATTGTAAGACCCCCGGAAGCTCAGGCCTCCAGAATCTTTTCCCAAGACTGAGGCCACCCCAACACCACGGAGGAGGCAGAAACTTGATGCAAACAGCAAGATGCTTTAATGAAAGGTAAACATTTGTACAAATGGGCTCTCTCAGCATGCAGGCTAGAGAGCATCCCTGTCCCCCAGGCACAGGCGTTTTTAAAGGCAAAACCCATAAACTTAGGGAGGGGCCTAGACTCTCTGTCCTTTGAATATGTGACCAGAGTCATGGGTTCCTAGGAAGCCCTTTGTCTTGAGGGGAGGCCTGGGAATCAGATAGCCTCCTGACCCCACCAGTTGTAAAACCTGCAGACCTCAGGATGTGCTAACTAATGGTAGCTATCTCTTTGTTTCACAGGGACCTTTAATTGTTAATGATTGACACATTGAACAGTGGGACAATCTGTTTCCTTCATGAGCCCCTCGGAGAGGGTGGCCATCTGGGAATTCTTGGTACCCAGTTATGGCCTTGTAAGGGAGTAATTGCTGCTGGCTGGTAAATTCCAGGCACTAAATCATAGTAGTAGCCTTGGTCAGTTTCTGGGCTATAATTCTTTGCTGATTTTTAAGTCTTTCACTATGTGATAGGCTATTGTATGCTGGTTATTTCATTATACCTTCTGCTTCCTAAAAGTTTTTTATGTGTATTAATGTTTGACGTATTTAAAAAATGATGGCTGGTTTTATTTCTGTTACCTGCAGTAAAATTTCTTTATTTAGCATCTTCCTGGCTGTTTCCTAACTGTGCTTCCCTGACCCTGAGGCCATTTCTCTCTCCTCCAATTGACCCCTCTGCCTGGAACCGAACTCTCTCTGTCCTCACTTGTCTAGAACATCTTACCCTGAATAGGCCTGGTGCAGGCCTATTCAAATGCTTAGTTCTGTAGAGATGCAAACTAGGATGCTTTCTCCACTGAGGCTGTGTCATTCAATAGCAGATTAGCTAGCATCTGCAATACAATTGTAGACTGGAGCTCCGGAGGTATGGACCTAAGGACCAGGAGAAATTCCCTAATGGAATTTTCCTGGCTCCTGACACTGCATAAGATTTGTCTGTAGGCAAGTCTGTAGTACATTTTCCTGATTTATGGTTAATGTGAGTGGGCCAAACTCACTGTGGATAGTGTCATTCCTAGGCAGGTGGTCCTGGATGCCACAAGAAAGCTGGCCAAGTAAGCCATGGGAAGCAAGCTAGTAAACAACATTCCTCTGTGGCTTCCTGACTCCAGGTTCCTGCCCTGACTTCCCTCAGTTGTCTGCGACTCAGGATATGTAATACAAATGAATAATTTCCTTCCAAAATTGCTTTTGTTATAGTTTTTCACAGAAATAGAAGCCCCAAGACAGTCACTAAGAGAAATAAAATTAGAAAATTCACAAATGCGTTGAAATTAAAGAACAGTTTCCTGAGTGGCTCTCCATCCGGCCCCGAGAGGCCTGGCAACAACGAGTGATGTCATAAGGGGCCCGCCCCTTATGCAATTTATAAAGCCGGCCTGAGGGCGCATTTGGCCCACTATGCTGAGGACACTGGCTGCCCGGTTGGTGTGCTGCGTTGCATTGCCATTTTGCTGTCACGGTCACTTCCAGGAGCCTGGGACCGAGGGGGCACGCATGTGTGCCTGTGTTGTGTGAGGGACAGCGAGACCCCAGCAGGGCCGTCCCCTGCTGCCTCTTCCATTAGGCCCGGCAGCAGTCAGCATGCTTCTTTGCTCGCCACCCACTCGGTGTGCTGAGTGCTTCTTGTCTTTTTGCTTTTGGAACTTGTGAGAGTCTTTTTGTCTCTCCCTCCAAAACTTTTTTTTTTTCTTTTGGCTTGGTTTCTCCAGGGCTGGTTTCCCTGGTCTGGAATAACTGCTTCCTGACCCTGGTCGCCAGCCCCGCCCCAGGTTGCCTCCCCCCCAAGCTTTTCCCAGCAGGTCTCTGAAGCATAGCCACACCTGCCTCAGTATGCTTGGGGTCAACGACCCTCCTCTTTTGATAAAAGACATTAAGGCCAGACTGAAAAACTTAAATGTCGTCTTTATTGTCCTGGAGATACAAGGCATTACGGAAATCAAAGAAGGTCATGAAGTGAGATCGTACAAAGTAGCTGATAGAACAGGAAGCATCACTATTTCTGTATGGGATGAGATCGGAGGGCTTATACAGACAGGGGATGTTATTCTTTTGACCAGAGGGTATGCATCAATGTGGAAAGGATGCCTGACACTTTATACTGGAAGAGACGGTGAACTTCAAAAAACTGGAGAATTTTGTATGGTGTATTCAGAAGTGCCAAATTTCAGTGAGCCAAACCCAGATTATAGAGGGCAGCAGAAAAAGGTGTACAAAATGACAAGGATAGAGTGAGCATCGGTATATTTGGGCCAGTTGGAAATGGTGGTCAGACTGGGCCAAAATCAAGGGGATATCATCTTCCATATACTGGTGGAAGCAGTGGCTGGGAACCCATCAATCAACAGCTTCCAGGAGCTCGTAGTAGTCAAACAGTCATGACCACAATAAGTAATGCCAGGGATCCGAGAAGAGCCTTTAAAAGATGGCCTAAGCAAAAGAGACTCATGTAGTTTTTAAACTGCATGTCCTACTTGAATACTTAGTGCATTTTTATTTATGATTAACTGCGAAAACTTTGTCTTTTACAGATTTCCTTTGACATTTTGGGTTTGCTAAGAAGAATGGTTGGTTTTTACTGCACAATGTTGAGCTGCTCAGTTACATCCTATTGAAGAATAGGAACTCTGAAAGCAGAAAGCAAGAACTTACTGGGTATCACTTGAAAACCTGTCCCTGTTTCAAGGATGAGCTACTTATGACACCAGCTTTATAGCCACTATGAGTCTTCTGCATACATTTTGTAATGTTTGCCATAACTTTTCTTTTCTTTTCTTTTCTTTTCTTTTCTTTTCTTTTCTTTTCTTTTCTTTTTGGTGAACCAATGAGTTTACCAGGGTGACTTAAAATAGTATTGTTGGTGATGGGTTACTTGCAGGATCAATCTTGTTTCACATATCAATCCATTCTCCCTCTCCCTCCCTTCAAACCCACCCGTCCTCCCCCATCCCGACCTACCCTCTACTCCATCCACCCTCCACTCCCCAGGCAGGGTAGGGCCCTCAATGGGAGCTCCCCAAAGTCCATCACATCATCCTAGGCCAGGCCTAGGCTGTGTCCATGTGTCCAGGTGAAGAGTGCATCCCTTCACGTGGGATGGGCTCTCAGAGTCCCTTCTCACACCAGGGAAAAATACTAATGCACTAATAGGGCCCCCTTAGAGTGCAGAGGATTCCTCATTGACATCCATGTTCAGGGGTCTGGATCAGTCCTGTACTGGCCTCCCAGACAGCAGTCTGGGGTCGATGTGCTCCCCCTTGTTCAGGCCAGCTGTTTGTGTGGGTTTCACCATCCTGGTACCAACCCCTTCCATCTTCATTCCTCCTCCTCTGCAACTAAGTTCCAGAGTTCAGATCAGTGTATATCTGTGGATGTTTGCCTCTGCTTCCATCAGCCACTGGATGAGGGCTCTAGGATGGCATAAAAAGAAGTCATCAATCTCATTTTAGGGGAAAGGCATTTCGGTTATCCTCTCCACCATTGCCTGGATTGTCAGTTCATGTTATCCTTGTAGGTCTCTGGAAATCTCCCTAGTGCCATATCTCTCCTCAGACCCATAATGGCTCCCTCTAATATGGTATCTTTCATCCTGCTCTCCTCTATTCTTCCCCCAACTCAATATTTCTGCTCCTCTATTTCCTCCTCTCATTCTGGCAGCTCCCTCATGCTCCCAATTAGCTCAAGAAATCCTGCCCCTTCCCATTCCTGGAGTCCATGCATTTTTCCCTTAGAGTCCTTCATTTTTCCTAGTTTCTTTGGTGAAGAGGATTGTAGGCTGTTAATCCTCTGCTCTATGTCTAAAATTCATATATGAGTGAGTACATACTATGTTTGTCTTTGTGACTGGGTTATCTCACTCAGGATGATTTCTTCTAGTTCCATCCATTTGCCTGCAAATTTCAAGATTCCATTGCTTTTTTCTGCTGAGTAGTACTCCATTGTGTAATGTACCACATTTTCTCTATCCATTATTCAGTTGAGGAGCATCTAGGTTGCTTCCAGGGTCTGGTATTACAAACAATGCTGCTATGAACATGGTTGAACATATGTCCTTGTTGTATGAACATGCATTTTTTGGGTATATGTCCAAGAGAGGAATTGCTGGATCTTGAGGTAGACTGACTCCCTACTGATTTCCAAAGTGGTCTTAAAAGTCTTCACTCCCACCAGCAATGGAGGAATTTTCCTTTATCTTCCCATCCTCTCCAGCATAGATTGTCATTGTCTTATTGACTGTGTCCTTTGCCTTGCAGAAGCTTCTCAGTTTCAGGAGGTCCCATTTATTAATTGCAGACCTCAGTGTCTGTGCTACTGGTGTAATGTTCAGGAAGCAGTCTCCTGAGCCAATTCATTCAAGGGTATCTCCCACTTTCTCTTCTAGAAGATTCAGAGTGGCTGGATTTGTGTTGAGATCTTTGATCCATTTGCACTTAAGTTTTGTGCATAGTGACAGGTATGGATATAACTGCAATCTTCTGCATGTCCCAATCCAGTTGTTGAAGATGTTATCTTTTTTCCATTGTATGGGTTTAGCATCTTTGTCAAAAATAAGGTGTTTGTAGGTGTGTGGGTTAATATGAGTGTTTTCAATTTGATTCCATTGGTCTAACTGTCTTTTTTTGTGCCAATACCAAGCTATTTTCAGAACTATGGCTCTATAATAGAGCTTGAAGTCAGGGATGGTGATGCCTCCAGAAGATCCTTTGTTGTACAGAGTTTTTTTGGCTATCCTGTGTTTTTTATTTTTCCATATAAAGTTGAGCATTGTTCTTTCAAGGTATGTCAAGAACTGTGTTGGGATTTTGATGGGGATTGCGTTGACTCTGTAGATTACTTTTGGCAAGATTTCTTTTTTTATTTCTTCCTCAAGCCAGGAATGGTGCAATTGGGTGTTACTCACTTTCCACGAGTTTGTAGGTTTTCTGCAATTTGTATTGCTGTTGAATTCTAGCTTTAAAGCAAGGTGATCTGATAAGATACAGGGGTTATTTCAATTCTTTTATATCTGTGGAGGTTTGCTTTGCTGCCAACTATGTGGTCAATTTTAGAGAAGGTTCCATGTGGCACTGAGAAGAAGGTATATTCTTTTGTGTTTCAATCGAATGTTCTATAGATATCTGTTAAACCCAGTTGGGTTGTAACTTCTTTTAGATCCTACATTTCATTGCTAAGTTTCTGTCTGGTGGTCTTGTCTAGTGGTGAAAGCTGGGTGTTGAAGTCTCCTACTATAAGTGTGTGTGGCTTTATTTGTGGTTTGAGCTTTAGTAATATTTCTTTTACGAATATGAGTGTCTTCATATTTGGGGCATAGATGTTCAGGATTGAGACTTCATCTTGATGGGCTTTACCTGTGATGAATATAAAATGACCTTCTTCATCTCTTTTGATTAATTTTAGTTTGAAGTCTAATTTGTTAAATATTAGGATTGCTACACCAGCTTGTTCTTGGACCCATTTTATAGGAAAATCTTTTCCCAACCCTTTACTCTGAGTTAACGCCTGTCTCTGAAGTTGAGGTGTGTTTCTTGTATACAGCAGAAGGATGGATTCTGTCTTCATATCCATTCTGTTAACCTGTATCTTTTTATGGGCAGGTTAAGACCATTGTCATTGAGGGATATTATTGTCCATTGATTTTTAGTTCTTTTTTGTTTTAGATTTGTTTTCCGTGGTGTCATCCTTTGTGTGTGTATTTAGCCCTCCTGTTTATTTTCGTGTTTGGTAAAATTGGATTATCTATTTCCTATGTTTTTGTGAGTGTAGTTATCTTTTTGGATTGGAGTTTTCCTTCTAGAACTTTCTGTAGTGCTGGATTTGTGGATATGTATTGTTTAAGTCTGGTTTTATCATTCATGGAATATCTTGTTTTCTCCATCTATAGTGACTGAAAGTTTTGCTGGGTACAGTAGTCTGGTTTGGCATCCATACTCCCTTAGTGTTTGTAGAATATCTATCCAGGACCTTCGGGCTTTTAAAGTTTCCTTTGAGATTTTGGATGTGATTCTGATAGGTCTGCCTTTATATGTTACTTGGCCTTTTTCCTTTGCTGCTCTTAATATTTTCTCTTTATTCTGAAGGTTTGGTGTTTTGATTATTATGTGTCAAGGGGACTTCTTTTTGTGGTCCAGTCCGTATGGTGTTCTGTAAGCTTCTTGTATTTTCATAGACATATCCTTCTGTAGGTTGGGGAAGTTTTCTTCTATGATTTTGTTGAATATGTTTTCTGTACCTTTGAGCTGTATTTCTTCACCTTCTTCTATACCTATTATTGTTAGGTTCTGCCTTTTCACCGTGTCCCATATTTCCTGGATAATTTTTTTTTCCACTTTTTTATGTGAATTGGAAACGGGATTGTTTTACATGACAATCCCATTTCGCTTCTCCCACCCGTCCTCCCCTACCCACCCCCCCCAACTAAAACCTTATCTGTCACATATCTTTTCTGCTTCCCCTGGATGGTGAGGCCTTCCATAGGGTGTCATCAGAGTCTTTTGTTTCATTTGGGGTAGGGCCTACGCCCACCCCTGTGTGTCTAGACTCAGGGAGTACTCCTCTGTATGGACTGGGCTCCCAAAGACTATAATACTGAGCTTCTTCAGGAGGTCCCATAGATTTCTGAGGTTTCCTCACAGAAATCCATGTTCCTTGGGTGTGGATAAGTCCCATGCTGGTATTCGAGCTATCAGGCTGGGGAGCAAGAGTTCCCAGATGTTCAGGTCAGCAGTTTCTGTGTGTTTCACCAGCATGGTCTGGACCTTTGTGCTCTTCACTGGTCCTTCTCTGCATCTGGGTTCCAGTTTCTATAGGTGATTAGTTATGGGTGTCTGTTTCTACTTCCACCAGCTCCTGGATGAAGGCATATAAGTCAGTCATCAATCTCATAATCAAGGGAGGGCATTTAATATAGCCTCTCCTCTGTTGCTTAGATTGTTAGCTGGTGTCATCTTTGTAGATCTCCAGATATTTCCCTAGTGCCTGATTTTTCTGTAAACCAAAAATGTCTCCCTCTATTATGATATTTCCATTCTTGTTATCTTGTATTCTTCCCTGACTCATATTTTCTGCTCCCTCATGTCTTTGGCATCCCTCCTTCTCTCCCCTTCTCATTCTCCTAGCTCCCTCCCCCCTCTTCCCATGCTCCCAATTTGCTCAGCAGATCTTGAACCTCT